GGTAAAAACTAATTTCAACCTTTTCTATTATCCTCAACCGCCGGAATAATTATCTATATGGAATAGGTGCATTACACCTTAATGTACAAAGAGCTCTCATAGCCTATGTAGGATAAAAAGCGGAGTATTTTTATTACGTAAGCTACGATGCATAGAACTAATCTCATAGATAACCTACAAGTCACCTTGCAGATGATTAGTATACTCGTAATAAACGCTGGATCAGAGTGTTATTGCCAGTTAGACTAGTTAAAAAAAGTTAGTTTTTTACTTGACATTTCTGTGGTGCGACATAATTATAATGCTGCTTCAACAATTTTTCGCGCCCAAAAGCTTATTATTGGGCGCCAAAGCTACCAAATTACCTCTCGCGGCCAACCGAAACGGTGAATTCTCGAGCTAATGTGTAAGTAAGCTTAATTATTGGCTAACAATGGCGTCAATCCGCTGTAAATGACTAAATGCTCAGATAATTGAATGTTCATCATATACTTCAGTACTCAAACACTCTAATACTTAAATTCTTCGCTGTTCAGACAATTAAATGACTCAACACTTATATAAACTGGACGGCAATTGCGACAGCGAGAGTTGCAAAAGCGGTGCGAAGCAGCTAAATACGATAACCGAAGGTGACGATTTTGTTTAATAACATACAACAACCTTACAACATAACTGATGAAGAAACTCTTGTCACTGATTGATACTGAATGTACTTCTTAAATCTGTTTAAATAACGTTCGCACGGTTTACAATGATTTTTTTGTGGTTGTTTCTAAGGTACAATTGACACAAAATTTTCCTTGAAATTGGTTACCAATCCGTATGTATGTGATTGATATTATAAATGAGTCATTGCGATTGCTTAAGACGTACTGTTATTTTACAGATAATGAATATAGTAATACGAATATTAAAAGAAGAGGAAACTATTGTTCAAATCTAAGTGCGAAGCAAGACCGCATTACAGTAATAAACTGCGTCTTTCCTTTCCAGATCGAAAAAGTGTCATTTTCTATAACGATGGTACAGTAAAATTTTAAATGCGAATGTGGAACTGTGTGTCCGCATTAATAAATAAGCTGTTTTCAGTCTTTGCTCAAAGACTGAATAAAAAGTTATGTTGTACGGTTGCTGTATGTTATTAAACAAAATCGTCACCTCGGGTTATCGTAGGATTTACTAACTTTTCCAGGAAAAATTCAAGCTATTTTGACCTAATATGGAATTATTATTAATATGGATCCATATTAGGTCAAAATAGCTTGAATTTTTCCTGGAAAAGTTAGTAAGTCCTCTCTAGACAGTTTTCGTCGGTCTTAGTGTACTAGATACTGTTGCATAGAGCTAGACGTTACATTGAACACACTTGTCTTTTGGAATCGGCACAGCTATGTGGACGAATATAAGGCCGAAATACTAAATTTTCCATTTTATGTTTATTAGAAACATCCATAAATTAGCTCGAAAATATTTTTGGCCTATCAGAATTTAACACAGGTGCATAGAGCTCGTTGAATTTTATCACCCAGAATTGGCACAGCTGTACAACGAATATAAATTCAAAGTACCTGGATCTGCTGCTAACTTCACCTAAGCCACATTAATGTCACTTACGTGACAAAATTTTCTGGGAACGTGCTTAACGTTTTGGAACCTTTGGTCCGTTGGAGATTTTGTAGATCTGCACATAGAGGTTATAATCTGACGGTAGCTGCTCATGAAAGTGTTTAGCTAAAAAATGACGAGGATGCTCACAAAAGGTCTGTTCTGCTGGAAAATGGGATCCTCATAGGTCTAGAAGGCCAACGTGCGTTGTTTTAAAACTTTTTAAACGTGATATTCGTCATCAGGAGCTCGAATTGTTCTAGTTCTGTTAGTCTCGAACTGTTCGGATAAAGTCAATGTAAACGTGGTATGTTTTTGAAACAACAGCCCATTAGCCTAGTTCTACAAATATTATCACTCTTTCACAACAGCACTTAAATGATTTCTCATAGAGAAAATAGAAAATATACAAAATTCCTTAACCAGTCATGTGTTTTCCTTTGCGTAGAATTCATATTAAATTATCCATCAGTCACATACTCAATGAGTACAGCAATAGATTCAAAACCATCACACAGCATATCCACTTCACAAACAACAACGGATTGTATGCAAACTTCAATTTATCGGACAAACTTTATTGAGCAACAAAACTTAGAAAACTTTCAGATCGCTTGGCTTGATGCTAATATCAATAAAACAGATGATAATTCCCAAACAATATCTCGATTACGTGCTACTATTAATTATCTAAATATATTTGATAATGTTTGGGACTGTTATGACTACATAGCCGGTGTTCAAAATGAAAAATTATTTTTAATTGTATCAGGTTCAATTAGTCAAGATATAGTACCATATACTCATCACATGCCACAAATTCAATTTATTTATATATACTGTTTTGACATCGAAAAACATATAAATGAACTATATAAAATAAATGAACTATGATATAGTGCGTGGTGTATATACTAATATGAATGATATTTGTGAGCAATTAAGTAAAGATGTCACCAGTTTACGTCAATTCTTATTCATGAATATCCTTTCTACAAACATAAAAGAAAAAGAAATAAATAAACAAGAAGCTTCATTTATGTATTTTCAATTGTTAACTGAAATCTTAATCGGAATGGAACATGAAGATGATGCAAAAACAAATATGATTAATCACTGTCGATTACAATATATTGGAAATGAAATCGATTTAAAATATATCGATGAATTTGATAAGACTTATAGTCCAAATGAAGCCATATGGTGGTACACAAGACATTGCTTTTTATTTGAAATATTGAATAAAGCACTTCGAATTCAAGACATTGATATTCTATTTAAATATCGTTTCTTCTTCTTAACTGATCTTCATAATCAAATAAAACAATTACATTCAGAGTTTGTTCAATCATTTCCAACAAAAAATATCGACTATGAACAAAAAACAGTGACTGTGTATCGCGGCCAAGGCATAAATGTAGATGAGCTTGAAAACCTAATGAATAATCTTGGAGGGCTTTTATCATTCAACAACTTTTTATCCACGAGTACCAATCCAAAGGTAGCACTAATGTTCCTACCAACTGGATCGGATCTTCAATCTGTTCTTTTTGAAATAATTGCTGAATATCGTCAAGACACAAAACCATTCTGTAGCATTAAACAAATAAGCAAATATAATGAAGAAGAAGAAGTCCTTTTCTCTATCGGAAGTATATTTCGAATTGAATCAGTTGATACCCTCAGCAACGGAGTCATGAAGATAAGCTTGACATTGACGACACAAGAGGACGAACAGCTCAAGCAATTAAGACAACACGATCGCATGGAACTCGGAGAAAACTTAAACCTGAACTTCCTCGGACTACTCATGATAAGAATGGGAGAATATAAGTACGCTCAACAATATTTCACAACATCAATTCAAAACCATCAGCCAGCACACCCTAATATTTCACAAACCTACAATTATATCGCACTAGTTCACGCTAAGAACGGTGAATATAATAAACCACGAGAAAATTATGAAAGCACGCTCGAAAATGCACTCAAGTCATTTTCCTCCAAACATCCATCATTAGCAACTACATATAATAATATTGGATTAGTTCACCATAAGAAAGGTGGATACGATAAAGCATTAGAGAATTATGAAAGGAAACTTGAAATTCAAATCAAGTCATTCCCATCCAATCATCGATCATTAGCAACCACATACAATAGTATGGGATTAGCTTTAAAAACAAAAGGCGAATACGATAAAGCATTAGAGAATTATAAAAGGGCACTTGAAACTGAACTCAAGTCATTCCCATCCAATCATCGATCATTAGCAACTACGTATACTCATATTGGATTAGTTCTGCACGAGAAAGGTGAATACGATAAAGCATTAGAGAATTATGAAAGGAAACTTGAAATTCAAATCAAGTCATTCCCATCCAATCATCTATCATTCGCAACTACCTACAATAATATCGGATCAGGATTAAATGCAAAAGGTAAGTACGATAAAGCATTAGAGAACTTTCAAAGGACACGAGAAATTCAACTCCAGTCATTGCCATGCAACCATCCAGCATTAGCAACTACATATCATAATATAGGATCAGCTTTAGGGGCAAAAGGTGAATACGATAAAGCATTAGAGAATTACGAAAGAACACTTCAAAGAACACTTAAAGAGAATTACGAAAGAAAGGGGAATACGCTGAAGCATTAGAGAATTATGAAAGGGTACTTGACATTGTACTCAAGTCATTGCCATCCGGTCATCCAGCATTAGCAGCTTCTTAACTTTTCTTATCAAAGTGTTAGTTAATGAAAATGCATATTTTATCATATATGTAAGCATTTACATTTTAATCTCCACCAATTGAGAATGAAATTTTTATTTGCACTAACGGAATTTTAAACTCAGTTTCTAGTGCAACATATAGATGTTATTAGAAAAAAGTACTTTATGATTCGTTAAGTTCAGGTTTCGTATTGCAAATCCACAACGGTAGCCATTGTCTGCGCTTGATTTTGTTCAGCATGGTGCCTGTACTATTTACGTCTCGACGTGCGAGTATGCGTTCAAAAAAAACCCTTCTCTTCTCAATCTCTCTAGAATTTAATTAAGAGGCAGTGCACGATAGAAACGCACTTT